GCCCTCGGACGAGGCGGATGCATCTTTTGCCCTAAATAGCTTCAGTAACCACTAGGCATGATTCATGTCAGGGCTTGGTGCTGTCCAACTCTTTATACTTGAGACCCTTTCTTGGTCCACAAGAAAGTCTGCCACTGTGATGCATACTGGATCCTGTTCAGGGAGGTTTCTGCAGTCTGCTCTTAAATGGTAAAGGCACTGATTCTTATATAGCGCTTTCTACTCTCCCCGAGTACTCAAAGCGCTGTATACAACATGCATCATTCTCCCATTCACACCCACTCATACAATCACTTCCTTCTATACTTAAGTGCAATCTAAGCATTCACACACACATTCAGACTCCAATGGACATACAGTATCGGAGAGCAACTTAGGGTTAGTATCTTGCCCAAGGAAAGTATCCTTGGGCAAGATACTGCAGACTGGGGAAGCCAAGGATCGAACCACCAACCTTCCAGTCAGTAGCTGATCTGCTCTACCACCTGAGACACAGCCACCCTAAATCCACGAGCCATTGAGCATTGCCATTATGGGTTGCATATTTCTCCCATATGCTCTTCCAGTACTGCTCCATCTCCAGCCTTGGTGAGGATGTTTTCTTATCACTCTCTCACCAGTGAGCGTATATGTTTGGTTCTGTGGAGTACAGATGGCTGATTCTCCTGCTTTCTATATGTCTGGTATACCTTTTTGGCTGGCCGAGGCTGTGAGTCTTTACCTGGCATTTTCCAAGGCCTCAGTTATGGGCAGCTTGCTAACTTCGTAGACATCCCTTTCTACAACATCCCTTTCTGCAGCTTCGATAGATGGCTTTCCTCTGTGCTACCTTGATCTTGGCCTCTAGTGTCTTTCTCCATGGAGGGCATTGCTCCTTTGGCTGTTTATTATGTAGCAGCGCATTCTCCGTGTTCGCTGTTGCTGTGGTACAGATCAGTGAGCTGGTTTCGGTTATGGTTGCAGTCATTCTCATAGACCCTCAGAGGGTACTTCACGTAACCTTGGTAACCGGCTACATAGGGTCCAGGTTTCTATCTTCACAATGATCCCATCTATCAGGTCAGCTGCTCTCGGACTCAACACCTTCACTGCAACAGCTGTACTTGGGCAAGATACTCAACCCTGTCTTTCTGCATAATAGCAGTGTTGGAACACACTGTGGTACTATACTCTTGTGAGCATCAGTTGAACAGTATTGTATGGCAGAAAGTAGTGTTGATACAAAAATGGTAAGAAAAAGGAAATTAACAATGGAAGAAAGACCATCATTACACTTAAAAATGTAGGTCTTTCCTACAGAGAAATTGCAAAGAAAGTCACGGTGTAAGTGAATACAGTTTGCGTCACCATTAACAAACTGGGGCAAACTGTGACAGGAAGAAGTCTGGTAGGCCAAAAGCAACAACTTAATCAGAGGACAGGTTTCTGAGAGTTAACAGCTTGCATGACAGGTAGTTCACAGGACAACAGCTTCAAGCACAGCTTAATAGTGTTCATAGTAAGCAAGTCTCAGTTTCAACTGTAAAGAGAAGACTTCAAGCTGCAGGTTTGACAGAACGAGTTGCCATGCTGGCGTCATGCGCTAAGCTAAGCACCTGCCCTCTGTGTGGCTTCGGCACCACCACCTGCGTAGCACCACGCAAACCACTCCGGTCAGGGGACCACCTCCTCATAAGAACTCCATCTTGCACAAAAAAAGAAGTGGGGGATTTACTTTCTGCACTCGCGGCTGCGGATATAAAACAGGGAGACAGTGACGAGTCATTCTGCTGAGCGGTTATCAGTGCATCCTTACTTAACTTTTCATCCAACTCTGGCATCAGTTTTGTCACATCATTGCCACTTCCTATTCTGCCACTCTCACAGCTGGGAGACTTTCTTTCATCTAGCGTCGCCATAAATGTGTCAGCGACATCCATAATATCGTCAAATTTGCGCGATTGCGCACGAGTAATAGCACTAACAGGAAACACACTTGATATAGGGGTGGCAGCATCAGTGACAGAGACAACAGGCGTTTCCACCACTTCAGGCGGTGGAAAAACTATCCCACCAGCCAAGTCATTTCCCAGAATAAATGAAACCCCTTTAATAGGCAACTGGGAACTCACAGCAACTTTAACATGTCCCGTTATTACGGGCGAATGCAAATGCACCTTGTGTAGCGGCGCCCAAAGAACGCTTATCCTAATTCCCCAAACTAACACATCTGAATCACAAGCAGGTTTATCTGACAATGGCAGTACACTGTCCAACATAAATGACTGATGCGCACCTGTGTCCCGAAGAATAGTAACAGGCACTTTATCCCTCTCTTCTCCCGTCACAGAAAC